CCCCGCTCTCACGGTCGGCGCCCCTGGGCTGGACCTCGGGCGCCACCTGGTGGACCTCACCCGCGTGCTGCCAGCCACACTCGAGGAGCTCGAGGATGCGGAGAAGGCGTTCGGCAAGTGGAGCACGAGCTACCGGCTTTCGGGTAAGGCAAGGGGAGCATCCCTCAATGTCAGCTTTGGGTTCTCACTGGTGGGAAATAATTCTGTGGATGCCGGCGCACGAGAGAGGGAGGGGTCCAGAATGTTGAATTCGGAGGAAGGAGGGCTCGATAAGGTCAATTGGCAGGGCCCGATGGCTCCTGCGGGAAGCCGGCTTCAACATCATGGCCGGTGCCAGTCAGTGAAGGATGTTAAGGTACTTCATGAGGTCTTACCGAGCTCCAAGTCAGATGCCTTGGCCTTGGCTAATTTTGAGAGGCAAGCGAAGCCAGAGAAGTCCAATGACTCTAAGGAACTTCCAACTTTGGATGCTGATGCAAAGCGAGAGCTTCAGATCATTGTGGAACAGATTCAATCTACAGAGTTGAGGACTTGCTTAGTATCAGAGCTCTTGGAAGGAACTGAGGAAGAGCCTCAGCTCTTGGACGGAATTGAGGTGGAGTCGCATCTGCCGAAGCCTTGTATATTGCCGGAGGCTGTCAAAGGAAGTGATGAACGGGAGTGCGATGAGCCCAAATTCATGGTGATCGAACACGGGGTAGAGATTGTAACAAAAGACCGGACTTGCAAAACCAGTGGTGACATTGAGATTGATGAGTCTGCTGGTGATGACGAAGCGGGTGAGGCCAGAAAGGAAGGACTGGATGCGAAACCAGAAGAACCAGTTGCGGAAATGGCTCAGCAGGAAAGCCATAATCTGCATGATGCTTCATTGTTGACTGGTGAGGCCAAAATGGAAGAAGGGTCAGATATGAAGATACATGAACCCGATGCGGAAGAAGCTGAGCATGACATCTATAATCCACAAGACGCCACATTGTTGGCTGTGGATCCACCGGTGCAAGACCTAGATTCTATCTTTGGTGAGCTCTCGGTTCTTGAATTAGGGGAATTTGAGTCTCCAGATATCCAAGGCAAACCAGCCAAGCAACTGAGTCATGGGGACATTAAGTCTAACTACAAGATGGCAAATTTGCTGAGCAGGTCCCGTAGCTTAGATGCTGTCACAGAGTCTGTTGCCAGTGAATTCTTAAGCATGCTAGGTATAGAGCATAGTCCTTTCGGATTGAGTTCGGACAGTGATCCAGATTCACCAAGGGAGCGGTTGTGGAAGCAATTTGAGAAGGAATCACTAGCTTCAGGTGATAATATCTTTGGTCTTGATGCTGGAATGGAGAAGCAGCCCTATTGGGATGAACTTTCAGATGGTCTTGATCTCTCAGTAATTATTCAAGAAGCTGAGACAGAGCTTCAGAACGCGGAACTGGCAATGAACAACATGAAATCCAGGGCTAAAATGCTGGAAGATGCAGAAACAGAAGCTTTGATGCATGCATGGGGCTTGAACGAAGAGGCCTTTCATTGCTCTCCGCCTGGGAGCGGCGGTGGATTTGGTAGTCCCATCGACCTCCCTCCGGAAGAGCCACTTGAGTTGCCACTGCTTGGTGAGGGCTTGGGTCCTATTGTTCAAACAAAAGATGGAGGTTTTTTGCGGTCCATGAACCCTTTGATGTTTAGGAACGCAAAGAACAAAGAGAACTTGATCATGCAGGTGTCCAGCCCCATTGTGGTTCCTGCAGAAATGGGTTCTGGGATCATGGAGATATTGCAGCGATTAGCTTCAGTGGGCATTGAAAAACTATCAAGGCAAGCAAGCAAGCTGATGCCGCTAGAAGATATCACTGGTAAGACAATGCAACAGATAGCCTGGGATTCTGCAACTGCTCTGGATTCTTGTGAAAGGTCTGAGAGTTTTATCATCTGTTTCTCTTCAGTTTAATTTCTTTTGTAACCCCCCCTTGTTTTAGAATCTTCTGATGCCTGTATTAAAATTTTCTCCTATGGTTTGTACAGGAATGACTTATTAGAAAATCATTATCCAGAAACAGGGTTGGCTGCTTCTCATAATGTCTCTGGGAGGAGGAAGAAAGGTAATGGCATGTCTCTAGCTTCCTCCAGCACTGGGGAAATGATATCTGAATATGTTTCACTGGAGGATCTAGCTCCAATGGCAATGGATAAGATTGAAGCCCTTTCAATTGAGGGGTTGAGAATACAGACAGGCATGTCTGATGAAGAAGCACCTTCAAATGTTAGCCCCCAGTCTATCGGAGAAATTTCAGCATTGGAAGGAAAAGGAGCCGACAATAGCTGGTCTCTAGGTCTGGAAGGCACAGCTGGATTACAGCTTTTGGACATTAAAGACAGCGGGCACGATGTAGATGGCTTAATGGGTTTGTCTATAACACTAGATGAGTGGATGAAGCTTGATTCAGGCATAATTGATGAGGAAGATCAGGACAGTGATCGAACATCGAAGATTCTGGCAGCCCATCATGCTAATTCAATGGACTTGATTTGTGGTGAGTGGAAGGAAGACAAGAGAGGTAGGAAAAAATCTGGTAGAAAGTGGGGATTGTTGGGGAATAACTTCACTGTTGCTCTGATGGTACAGCTGCGGAATCCCTTAAGGAACTATGAGCCAGTGGGCACGCCAATGCTTGCTTTAATTCAAGTTGAGCGAGTTTTTGTTCCCCCGAAACCTAAAATATACAGCACTGTTTCAGAAAAGGGAAACAGTGAACAAGAAGATGAGGTTGAGACTGAAAGCAAACCATTGACCAAGGAGGAGAAACATGAGGAAGAGGTCATTCCTCAGTACAAAATCACTGAGGTACATGTTGCGGGTCTAAAAACAGAACCTAACAAGAGAAGTCTTTGGGGTAATCCCAAGCAACAACAGTCTGGTTCTAGGTGGTTGCTTGCTACTGGAATGGGCAAGAGTAATAAGCATCCGTTTATGAAGTCGAAGACAGTTGCAAAACCTTCTCAAGACATGACGGCCAAAGTGCAGCCAGGAGATACTCTTTGGAGCATTTCTTCACGTGTTCATGGCAGTGGGGCCAAATGGAAAGAGCTAGCGGCTCTGAACCCTCACATAAGGAACCCTAATATCATCTTCCCGAATGAAACTATTAAGCTGCGTTGAGTACAGTAAGCACATGGTAAAACACTATCACATGAGCCTTTTGTACAGAGGGCAGATGGGTTGCATGGGGTGCATTGTCGTTCATCGTTTGGTTTCTGCAGCTTAATATTACGGGCACCTGTCATGCCTGGATTCCATATTGTAAGGACTAAATATGGTTGCATTTCATCGTTGAGTTTCTTGTTGCACATACTTTCGAAAACAAATCTTAATAGCCATGCAGGCAATTTATGTAACTAAGCATCTTTCTATAAATAGATCTGCATTGTTTGTGTCTATACTCTATACATCAGCATAGCTCTAGGGATGAGGTCCTTCAGCACATGATTGTGTTTCCACCATGGATTTCTTTTGCTCCTTGTGAATTTCTCATTCAAGGTGTGAATCATTTTTATTTGTCGAAATAGAATAATGAAACTAGTTTGCATCTTTATTAGCTTATTCAAATTGTTTAAACCTTCTTCCCTGGAAGGATGGTAAGATATCTGGATGGTACTTTCACCAAAGTAATGCTAGAGTTAGCTATCTTTTCCAAATCCATAAACTTTGCAGATATGTAAAATCCTAGTTTATATGTTAAAGGATTGGTGCCATTTCAAGTTTGCTTTTGTTGGTGCAGAAATCATGGCCATCTTTTGTTGCACTGCTGAGTAAATTTAGTGTGATCAATAAGGACAGTGTTGTCACAATGGCTTGTTGTTGTAACTGAGCCATGAATTGCTTGTGATTTCTAATATCTATTTAAATGTCATGAAAGGTTTGTAAATTTGTGAAAGCTGCTGAGTTGTTAGAGATCAAACCAATAGTTAGTTAATTGCTTGACTTGGAAAGAATTGATAGCAGGTAAAAGAAGAACCTGAAGCCTGATGGGTGAAAGTTGTGCTGTTTCTTTCTGATTGCAGGCAGTGAAAGTTGCTTCAGGTTAGTGCAGAAATTTGCACTCCTTTTAAGGTTATTTTCAACTATATTTCTTTTATTTTCAAGAATCAGGTTTTTATTAGAACTTTTGAGTAGTCATCATATTAGTGTCACACAGGATTTCATACTTAGCAAAAGCGCTTATTATTCACATCATATCTTAATATCCTACGTGTCAATTGACTAAGGGAATAAGACATAATACAGAAATACATATATATATATATATATATATATATATATATATATATATATATATATA